AGCGGCTGGGCGGCAGCGCCCCCTGGGGACGGGCGCTGGAATCTCGCCGGGGAGGGGCGCCGGGGAACTACGGACGTGAAAGTGGGCGGAGTCGGATCTCTAGCGTAGCTGCCTCTTGCTGGTGTTTGCGGAGGCGCCAAGCAAACAAAAATAGTTCATGGAATTATTCGTGAAGATAGCTTATTAAGATTCTATTACTCTGAATCAAAGTTTGCTCTTACACTTCTGCTCATGTCCTCTTAATCCGTGGATCTAGCACACTCGGAGGGGTATTAATGGCAGTAGCTGACGCGTATGGGGTATGGAAAAGGACTGTTTTAAACGCGGTAATTTATCACGCAGCTAGAAAGTGTGGGGAAGTTAAAGAAAAAAGAAAGTGGTAAAGCTGTTATTTCACCCCATTTGGTTTATGAGTTCTTGCATTTACCCACTTGGCTGATGTTTCGTTATTCCGTTTTCTTTTCTTCTATGCTAAGCATGCCAACAAACATTATTTTATATTGTTGTTTTAAGTTGTTTTTTTTATATATATATTTGAGCTGTATCTCCCCAGGAATATTTGTAGACTTCTTGAATATAGACCCAAAAGGTCTTGATATTTCCCCTTGCTTATGGATATGAATTCACCATTGGCAACCCACCTAAACCAAACTCACTACTATTAAAAGGATTCTAACTCACAGAGACCCTAAAGGACAAGGTAGAACAGTCCCCTAGTATTTCCAGGGCTGTCAGTTGTTAAGGAGGGAACGGTGGTAAAGCCCATAAGGACTTCTAACGCAGAGATTGCATTTCTCTGGCAGTTCGAATCCACTCGCAGCTCAGAGAGAGAAAGCGGAACAATTTCCCACTCATTTTCCAAACTCCAGCAACGAGCTTATGGGTAAACAACGAGTCTGATATCTGTAAGTATGAGAAATCTTTAGGGAAGCTGATTGCTTCCTCTCTCTCCTGCAGCTCCAGCCACCAACTTGCAGATTAGAAGTCAAGCTCTTAACCACTGAGCCAGAGGGGCCTTCCTGCTTGCTTGTAGGGTTGGGAATGAGTGGTCTCCACTCCTTTACAGTTTAACATCTGAAAATTCTATGGGAACATAGAACGTAATGGCTCTCTAAGGTAGGCGCACCTCCACAGTCCCATGTCTCTAGTAGGACAAGGTTCTAGTGCAAAATCTAAGAGATCTAGAGGCCCTGGAAGACCTGGCAGGGATCCAACTCTGTCTGCATTTGAGGTGCAGAAACTAGACTGAAGGGTCCTTCTTCAACTGGCGACAAACCAGCCTGGCAGAGCGAAGGAGGTGGCCCAAGCCCCTCTCCAGGTGGCATCTCTGACAGTAGCATCTCTGTGGATAGGAAGTTCCACAACCCACAGTGTCGGCAGGGCTGGCTTGCAGCCGAGTGTATGACCTCTATTAGCAGCTCTTCTTACTCAGAAAACACCTGAGTCCCAATGTCCTCATCTGTGGGATAAATAAGAACTCTGGACTAGACACTTCCAAGGTAGGACTGTCCTATGCCTTGGTTAGCTGGGGGGGGGGGGGGGGCTACTAAGCAGGAGACTGCATAGAATATGGCTGCATTTCTAGGAAGATTTATAGTGACGCCTTTAGACAAAAGCGGAATCGACTTTCAAAATGGAAAGGGGGTGAAAAATCTGAACTTGTACATTCTCTGGACCAGCCAGGAACCTGGCGACCTGACCTACAGACTAGTGGATGGATAGTGTTCCTTGAGCCCTGGGGTCGGTAGAAATCGGGGCCAAATTCCAGAGCACCAGAAAAAGAGTGCAAATAAAGGAAAAGCTACAGAGATTGTGGAGTGGGTGGGAATTATATTATGATCCATCTGTGATTTTCAAATGGCTAAAGCAAGAGAATTCTTGTTTCAATCAATATTTTACACAGAAGCCCAATATTTAAAAAAATAGATAATATTTTCAAAGGACATTTTATAAATTCATTTTATTAACCCAAGTTAGTATAAAATCAAACACTAAGATGAGCCAGGCTTTTTTTCTTGAACCCCAAATCATCCACTGGGGCTCACTGTGGGGTTTTTTTTTTGTTTTTTTTTAACACTTCTTGCTGATCTTCTCTGTATCGTTCCAATTTTAATATATGTGCTGCCGAAGCGAGCACCTCACTGTGGTTTTAAATAAGCTTCTGGTTTCCAATTTATTTCCTTTTCTTTTCATTATCATCCTTGCTTATTGTTTTCGTTTTCAGGAATTTTTGTTTTCTTTTTATTTACTTATTTACATTTTTTTAAAAAGAAATTTTTGTCGTTTGAGTGTAAGTTTGTGAAACAAATTAATGTTTTCATCCAACCACTCATCCAAATTGTGTTCAAGAACATCATTTTCAGTACCTGTAATCAACTTTTCCAACTTCCCCCTGTAGTTCTGATTTCCATTAACCCTTCCATTACATTCTATATTTCCTCTTTCTTGAGAGATGTTACGCTAATGTCTCCTTTTCAGAAGAAGAATTTGAGTTATGATGCTGGAGAAGAATCTTGAACATACTGTGGACCACCAAGAAAACTAGTAAGTCTTCAAGAGGGAGAAACCAAATTTCTCCTTGGAGGCTAGGATTTTGAAGCTTCGTCTCACATACTTGGAATGTTATGGCAGAAAATGAGAGATTTAAACACTCAGCTAATATTGGAGATTGTTGTTACTGTTATTGTTATGTGCCGTCGAGTCGTTTGCGACTCATAGCGACCCTATGTACAACAGCCCTAAACCGTGCTCTATCCTGTGCCAATCTCATTGCCTCTGACACACCCATCCCGATTACCCCAGTCACTGAATCAATCCACCTCATAGAGGGTCTTCCCCTCCTGTGCTGTCCCTCCACTCTACCCAGCATGATGTCCCTCTCCAAAGACCTGTCTCTCCTTACAACATGTCCAAAGTATGTCAGACGAAGCCCCAGAATCCTTGCCTCCAAGGAGCAGCCTGGTTTAATCCTCTCTACGATGAATCTGTTTGTTTTCTTGGCAGTCCATAGTACATTCAATACTCTTCTCCAGCACCACAGCTCAAAGGCGTCAAATAGGCATGGGTCAAGAACGTCAGCTATTGCCCAAACTGTTCCAATCCAAGGAGGAAGCAAAGATTGGGTTTATATACAGAGACTGGACATGGAGGTTACGCGCGAAGTTCTTTGTGTTTGGCAGTTAAGATTTCATCCCATTCAGGAGCCATTATTGTTTCTGACTTCTCAGGGGTGTCCAGGCTCTGGGCCAGGTACAATATGTAGTCAGGGAGTGGTAACCAAGCTGGGTCAGCATGTACTAGGGAACATAAACCTTAACAACACATATTATTGCCAACATTATTGAAGCGTACATTTCTTAAAATGGCTGTCAGAACAAAATGACTTCTCTGATGCTAACATATAAAATGGCTTCTCTAATGCTTAGCATTTAAGCTGCTACTGCACAGGCACGTGGCCAGGAGGGACTGGTCCTGGGAGAAGAACATCATGCTCAGAAGGGTGGAGAGGAAGATCCTGGATGAGATAGATTGATACAGTAACTGGGGCAATGGGGGTTGATGTGTTGGCATCAGTGAGACTGACTCGGGACACAATTGGCTTCAGAGCTGCTGTACATAGTGTCACTATGGGTCACAGGTGACTCAATGGCACATAACAACAACAAAAACATCGGGTATTACCTTTCCTTCAGCGCATCTTACTACGTGTCTATTATCTCTTCACTAATTTTTATTCTCTCTCTTCTCATCCCTGACAACCACCCAAGAATGATTCTATGTGAAAATATTTCCTTAGCTTTTCCTAAAAGTGGTTTTTCCATAATACTTGTCTGAGACTGACCTACTAGATTTAACTCTATGTCCGTGTTGTACAGTGTTTTCTGAATTCTTTACTGTTTTTCAGTATTACATAGTTTACTTTTATATCCTGTTTTGTTTGCACAGTATAAATAAAGTCTTGGTTCACATGGCTCACCAGTAGTTTAGGAAGCTCTGGTGGTCTAGTCCATAGAGAGTGGCATTGCTAACCCCGAGGGCAAGTATTTCCAGTGATTTTGATCCACCAGTTACTCTGAGGGGGAACGATCCCCTCATAGTTTCCACCCTTGTGATTTACAGTCTCTGAAACCAAAGGAGGGTCTCTACTGACTGGACAGCAGTGAGTCTAAGTGAGAGTAAATTTTATTCTTTGTAAATTTCACATTCAGTCTCCTTGTAAGGCTGATGTGGAGTACCACCTTTGTTAACCAACGACATCCTTAGAAGAAGATCAAACACACACTGAGAAGAAACACTTAGAATAAAGATGGCAAACAAACACTTAGATTTACCGTCAAGTAAAGTAAAGAACAGGTTACTTCATTAGCAATTTCACTAGCTTTGTGGTTAGATTTTATTCTAAACACATCGGAATGTGGATAGTTGTTTCATAGTTCAAAATACAGTGAAAACCAATGGATGCTCAATGAGATGCATTAACATCACAAGTCTCCCAAGGTGAGGTTCAAGGCCCTGAAAAAGACACAACCTCTTTTATCTGCTAAAGATGCATAGCTCAAATCTAGTCATGAGGAAAGCTGGTACAAATCCA